CATATTTTCAGTACCAGAATTTTTCAGAATAAGGTAAAGAATTTTATAAAGTAATTTCAACTTCGTGGGTAAGAGTTTTGTAAATTATAAAAAAAACTTGTGGTTTGTATATAACAAAAATCCTATTTAGTAAAAATATTAATTTTGTTTAGAATTAAATTCGTAACGTTCGAACGATTGATACTTAACGATTGTTTTGTGTAAAAGTTGTAGCTATATTCCTGAACGAATTTCCTGATTTAGATTAGATATCGGGGCGTTTCATCAACGTAGCATTCACAGTTTTTCACCCAGTTTAGAATTTTAAAAAAAATTGGCGATTAGTGATTCTGTTTTTCCTGAAAAAGTACTTATTATTTAATTTTACCGAATTCCGTGAAGCTTTTAAATATGCTTCCTCTTAGAATATTGCATGTAAAAGGTACAGAACATTTTGTATTTGACTCAAATCACGACGAATATTTTATAATGATTCGAAGTTTTTCTGAAAGTGAACTGCGCAAAAGAGTTTAGTTTTATATCTATGAACTTTTCCACCCATAGTGTAGAAACAATTCGCATAAAAACCTCCAAATTTTATTTTGAGAATCTTAGTAACTTGACCACATGTCTATGGACAAAAACTGCCATTCTAAAATATATCTAGAATATATTCATATAATTTCTGAATATATCTAGACTATATTCATAGAATTTCTGAATAAATCTAGAATGTATTCATATAATTTCTGACTATATCTAGAATATATTCATATAATTGCTGAATATATCTAGAATATATTCATATAATTTCTGAATATATCTAGAATATATTCATATAATTTCTGATTATATCTAGAATATATTCATATAATTTCTGAATATATTTAAAATATATTCATATAATTTCTGAATATATCTAGAATACATTCATATAATTTCTGAATATATCTAGAATATATTCATATAATTTCTGAATATATCCAGAATATATTCATATAATTTCTGAATATATCTAGAATATATTCATATAATTTCTGAATATATCTAGAATACATTCATATAATTTCTGAATATATCTAGAATATATTCATATAAGTTCTGAATATATCTGGAATATATTCATATAATTTGTGAATATATCTAGAATATATTCATATAATTTGTGAATATATCTAGAATATATTCATATAATTTCTGAATATATCTAGAATATATTCATATAATTTCCGAATCTATCTAGAATATATTCATAAATTTCTGAATATATCTAGAATATATTCATATAATTTCTGATTATATCTAGAATATTCATATAATTTCTGAATATATCTGAATATATCTAGAATACATTCATATATTTCTAATTTCTGAATATATTCTAGAATATATCTATATTCATATAATTCTGAATATATCTGAATATATTCATATAAGTTCTGAATATATCTGGAATATATTCATATAATTTGTGAATATATCTAGAATATATTCATATAATTTCTGAATATATCTAGAACATATTCATATAATTTCTGAATACGTATGTGATTATGAGATAATATTATGCACAATTAAAATGCATGTGCAGTGCGTTCAAATGCGATCGAAAGCAGATAACTTTATTTTTGTAGGTATTGTTACGAATGTTACGCTTTCTGTAGCTGTGCTTTGTTAATTGTAACTTAATGACACTATAGAAAGTTTTTCTAACTATTGCACTTTTTCTTCCTTGACTTTAAGTTTTTGAAAAATATGTGCAGTACTTTGGTTTAGCTTTAACACTGAAAAAAGAGATCTTGTTATAGAATCGTGCGAAAAGCATAATTTTTACTTCCTTGTACGAAGTAAAAGGGAAGTATTGTAATCGCGAAAAGTTTCCGGCAGCATATTTCAACGAAAATATCCATTTTGACCGCTATCGAATGCAATTTAACGATGTTTTTACGTGATATCTGTACGTAAGGACAGAATAAAATACTCTTTTTCTTCAAAAAAATTATAAAACTGCTTTAAAATGAAATTCTGAAGAGAATTTTTCCCGTGGCGTCTGTACGAACGTACGTATGTATGTACGTATCTCGCATAACTCAAAAACGAGTAGCCCTCAGAACGTTGAACGTTTTGTGAAAGGACTTACCTATAACATGTAGATGTGCACCTCTCGTATTTTGGTTGCAATTTCGGCCGCACCAAAACGTATATAAATATATTTATATATATATTCACTCTGTCACCCGGCTCAGTGATCTCAGTTTCTTTACTCTTATATGTTTGTAAATTGTACATTTTTTGCTTTAAAAATGATTGAATTATGTTGTTTTTATCTTCCGGTTAAGGATTGTATGCCTTTAGTAAATATGTGTGCAATATGTTTAGAATTATCAGCAATTTTAAAGTTGTTTAATTGCCGCTAAGCCTGTTTTTAATGGCGACCATTGATGTTTACATTTGAAACAGGAGACTATTGGATTTGTAGCCAATCTAGAGAAACTTAGCTTCGCAACAACAAAGATAACGCATTCATTTATTATTGCCAATTAAATCATGCTTAATTCTTTCTGGAATTTTTTCGATAAGTGTTTGAGATTTACTTCGTAATTTTTAATATAGATATTTTGAGTTTTTATGCATTTTTACCTTCTCGCGAAGTGAGAACTGAATTAATTAAATGAGAAATACTCAATCGTCTGTGAAAACTGTTTCTTTTTTGTTTTGTTTGCTTAATTTCTTTTATACATCATTCTAGCTTTATTATAGTATTTGAATAGAACATGTGGCCACGATTAGATAATTCTATTCTTTAAATGATATAAATTTTGTGCATTATGAGTTATATTATGAACGAATATGTACGTTGACTGTTATATATTTATTGGATTATATAACAGCTAACTTAGTTTCCGCTATATAATTATTATATAAGTTAACTGTTATATAATTATTAATACTGTTAAGTGAATCTAGCGCCAGAGTGTCGCTATGGTAAACGAATACTAGAGAGAATTTTAAAGACTGCTTTTATTCTATTGTGGTTTATGCGCTGTCGGCGAAGTAGATTTAATTCAATGCAATAAGTTTAAATGAAGTGCAAGAAAAAATGCGTATAATTTAATATTCCAATACAAGGAAGTCATGTGGTGTATACATCAGATTTTTTTTAAATGTGTTAAGACAAATTTCAAAGTGAATTCCAGTATCCTCAAAGATGTAAATAAGGATTATCACACTGCTCTAAATAATGTTCGAGAGCGGCAAAATGCCATTTACTACACCTTCCGTTGTGAACCCTCTGATTGACGTACTACAGTGCAATATTTTAAGGGTGTCCGCTGATAACATCGAGGCAAAAACATCGCGGACGAAAACGTCGCGGAGAAAACAACGCAAGGTGAAAACATCGTGCTACAAAACATCATGGGAGAAAACATCGCAAAGAGAAAACATCGCAGTCCTAAAACATCGTGGCATAAAACATCAACTCGAAAATAAAGCGGTTCGAAAACTTCACAGTTTAAAAACATCGTCGTCGAAAATATTGTGGTAAAAAAAAAAAGTATCTACAAATCATCGCATGACGATAACATCGTAGACATGCTTTTTTTCAGGTTTTAATAATTCTAAATAGGTATTCCCATCATGATTTGTGAGCGCAAGATGTAAAGAAGGATAAATTTTACTTTCACAGTTTTTATTAACTGATAAATTTTTTCTGAAAAAGTAAGAAGGCAACTTAAGCATAGAAAATTAAATGCAACTTATAGATTATACGTTTCATGAAAAATTACCAGTAAAAACTTTATAAAAAATGATTTATTAATGACCTTTGTTAGTTAACTATGTCGGTTTAAAATTCTATTAAGTGCTGTAAACTTGCATTAATTTTCTATTCTTAAGTTTCCTTCTCATTTTCTCAGCAATAATTTATTAGCTAATAAAAATATGAAAGTAAAAATTATCCTTCCTTCTATCTTGCTCTCACAAATCATTATGGGACCATCCATTTACAGTTTCTAAAGCCTCAAAAAAGCATGTCTGCGATGTTATCGTCATGCGATGATTTGTAGATACTTTATTTATTACCACGATATTTTTTATTTAGTTATGAAGATTTTGAACCGCTTTATTTTCGACGGCGATGTTTTGTACCACGATGTTTTAGAACTGCGAAGTTTTCTCTTTGCGATGTTTTCTCCCACGATGTTTTGTAGCACGACGTTTTCGCATTGCGTTGTTTTCTCCGCGACGTTTTCGTTCGCGATGTTTTCGGCTGTAACCATTTTAAGTAGTTCTATATTTACATATGCGTTAATAAAAAGCAGAGTTAAATAGAAATTTGTTCTGTGTATACTTTTATTTGAAACATCATGAATAAAAAGGAAATGGCACATAAGAATTTATTTATATGTATTATTGTCATTATATGTACTGAAATTTTACATGCAACATACAGTATAAGTGGAACGACTTAAACAACGCAGTATTAGAAATAATTCATTAGGCTTTACATTATCTGTGTGTCAAATGCGTACTTAATGTAAAGAAAGGAGGAAAATGGAATTTATTTCAGTACTGTAGTTTATTCAAAAAAAGTCTCTAAAAGTTAGTGTTTTCTGCAAAATTAGACAATAGGGTAATTTGCTAGTTGTCTAAATCAGCGATCTCCAGACTCCTTTACTCGCGTACCCTTAAGACCCCCCAAAACAAAACACCTCATGTGGACAACACGTGGTATTTTTGTTCGGTCACATAGCTCTTTTGTACGGCAGAAATTATACAAACATTTTGCTGCACTTCATTTAATCTGTTTCCTCGAATTCTTCAAATAACGGATCGCTCGAGGCAAGTTGAAAATGACATCAAAAATAGGAAATTTTGAAGTTATATATCCCGGTCAGTTTAGGAACTGGGAAACCGTATTAAAAGTCAGATATCGTCATTTGTACAAAAAATTAAATTTGACATTGTCAAAACATGAATATTTTCATCATTTAAAACACTTCCGTAATTGAACGTATACTATGACTACGACCGACAATTGTGAAACCAAAGCCCAGGTAAGGATTTTTAAGCCTGGTGATGGGAGGTGGATATATATACACTTTTGGTTCTCCCGATTGCAATAAAAAAGAAAGGCTTACAATTAGATATTATAGCAATTCCATATACAAAATTCCAACAGTCTACTGCTACTTGTTTTTGAGTAATGCGAGCGAAATACCTACATATGTAGTATATGTGGACGTCACAAAAAATTCTTTTCAAATCATTTTAAGGGGGCCCATACACCTTAAACCCCTCATTATCTTCGAATATGTGACTGTTGCAAGAATTGGAATATTTTATTTATTTTAAAAGCATTTACTTCCAACTTTACTTCCAACTAAGTAATATAGCTGCTTTGGGAACTAGTCACCAGAAAGTTTGTGTTGCTACAAATATTTTTGTAATTTAATCTGCTTTGTGACAAAAATTTTCGCCATGTTTTCACCTCACGCGCACGATATTTTAAAAATGGCTCATGGTATATACTTGAAATTTGATGGAATTCTTTATATGGGCACTATTTTCTAACTGAATCAAAAACCTAATAAATATGTTAATATTAAAAAATTTTATGCACGAAAACATTACAAATTTTTTTAATAAAATACATTTTATAAACTCAACTCCAAATAAAATAAAAATTTAACGTGAAATTCTTAGAATTTTTGATTCATAGTAAATTCCAACAGTTATAAAAGCTATATATTAAATATGGAATTAAATTATGCAACAGAATATTTTAAACTGTGCACGCTAGGTGGAAACATGACGAAAAATTGTGTCACGAAGCGTATTAAATTATAAAAATATTTGTGGCAATACAAACTTTCTGATTACTATTTCAGAGAGCAGCTATATTATGTAGTCAGCTGTACAAAGTTCGAAGTAATTGCTTTTAAAATAAATAAGTTATCCCAATTCTTGCAGCAGTCACATAATCGAGATCTTGTGGCTTTTAAGGTATATGAGTCCCCTTAAAATCCATTTTACAATACATTTGGGAAAAAGTCCTTTACTCTGTCCGTACGTAGAGACTTCACTAAAAAGAATAGTCCAAATGTATCCAAAACGGTTAAAATGAATATTTCTTTTGAAATCTGAACCGATTTTCCATTAAATAATTCTTTCTCTAAGTTTAATATTTACTTATATTTATCTTCTAAAAGTAATAAAGAAGTAAGGTAATTTAAGTAATATTAATCTAATTTAAACATTCTAAATAATACCACTGTTGTGTTGTGTATTATGGCAAAGGACACTAGGGCTATCTGCCTTAGGGAAGGGATGCCTTTCGTGGAGGACTTTCTAAGGGAAACTGGCTCGTATACACGTTACACATGGCGAAAACCACGAAAACGCCCATGCAGCCAGCCCGTACGCGGGATTCGAACAAAAGACCGAACTACCAGTTTTCAGCGTCTTTACCGCTCGGCCGCTGGTGGGCTATAAACCCTATAACATGTGTTTACTAACAGTTACGATTGGTCCACCGCAGCGGCCCGCATCACTTGTAGAACTGGTATTTTTTGGAGCAGGAATAAAATTAACGATCCCCGGATCGGATAGGCGCTCGATACCCCCAGAGGAGCGAAGCGTAAAGTTTATAGCTTACAAGGACACTTTATAAGATCTATATGACTATCTATATAAGATCTTATAAGATCTATGATCTAATTCAGAAGTCAAACAGCAAAAATCAGCGTTATATTTTCAAAATTTTCGCAGGACTAGTTTCGATGGTTTTACTGAACCACCATCCTCAGCTGCAAAACTCTCAAATGAACAAGATAGGAAAAAATGACTAGATAAGATAAGAAAGCGCCACTTGCTTATTCCTGTCCAGGCTTTCTTATCTTATCTAGTTATTTTTTCCTATCTTGTTCATGTATAACGCGAAAATATAACGCTGATTTTTGTTGTTTGACTTCTGAATTAGTATTTATTCGGCGTGTTATTGTGTCTTAATCAATGATCTATTTTATAAGGTCTAGTCTCAGCGATCAATGAAAGAATCTCGCACTCACAAAATACACGATCATACAACTCGCAAGTGATGAAGAGCCTACTTCTTTGCATACCACCATTGTATCACTTCGAGGGCCCCCTGGGGTTTACGTACCCACTTTGGATATTACTGCTAAACATACACTATATTTCAAGAAAAAAATTATATCCGAGCACTGAAAAGCAAGAAATGAAATTTGAAGCAACCGTTGAAATACCAGAAATAACATTTCAACCAAAAAATATTTATTTATGTCGGCTCTAAAGCAAATATATATTCTTGTTTTTACTTTTAAATTTTATAAGGTATTTTCTCCTGCTTTCTGCATGCCTTCGTGGTGTAACGATAACACACTCGGTACGTATTTGGGAGTTCCAGGTTCGAGTCCCGGCGAGGGCACTACAAATTATTCACATTTCCTGCTTTTTGTATCACGTAATAACTCTACAGTGGCGCCCGAACTAAAAGATGGTGGAATATTTATCACCACCTTTTAGTTCGGGCGCCACTGTAATAATAATTGGTCACCATTTATGATTTGGCGATTGTATTCCCTAATTCCCAACCGCCCTTTAAAAGGAGAAATATATAAGGTAAGCTCCCTCCTTTCTGCGTGCCTTCGTGGTGTAATGGTAGCATACTCGGCACGTATTCAAGAGGTTCGAGTTCCGACGAGTGCGCTGCATATTTTCATGTCACCTGCTTCAAAAAATTCCTAATGACTCCACAATTTAAATGAAGAATATAATTTAAATACAAAACCATGAAAAATTAAACTAAGATACTTTTTTTTTTACAACATGCCTGTACAGATTATTTTCTTTACTAATGTTTACAGATTTCTTATTTGGCGAGCAGTTCTCCCTATCTGCATGTTGTCTACATATTAATTAAGCTACTTACTTAAATAGCTTAATTAGCATCTTAAAAATACATACTAATTGTAGTAATGCACGTTCGTCTAAATTAGCTTAATAAGTTTCTTGTTGAGATTTGTAAGATTTATTTATACTCTTTTATATATACTTCTTTACTTTTTATTAGCATAGATATGAATTTTGCAAATATGGATTTTAGACAATGCGATCTGACAGATTTGGGCTAAATAATGTAGAGACATTACGTTATTTCGAAGCAGGAGAGAGGAAAATGAGCAGGACTCCAACCATGGACCTCTGGAATACGTGTCGAGCGTGATGACCATTACACCACGAAGGCATCCTGAGAAGTCGGGAGAAAAACCTTATATATTCCCCCTTTTAAAGGGCGACATGTGACCAGAGGACCCATTCGCCAAATCCTGGTGGTGGAGAATCATCATCCACTTATTTTAGTTCGGGCGCCACTGTAGAGACGTTAGGATATTTCGAAGCAGGAGAGATCAAAAATGAGCAATGTCCTCGCCGGGGGCATTGCTCATCGCCAATATATATATATGTGTGTGTGATGTACCAGCTTTTGTCCGGAATAAGTAGATTGGTGAAGAATCATAGATGTAGTCGTAGCTTAAATTATCAGACGATAAGTTTAAAAAACAGGATTCATTTATTATATTTCAGGGGAAATAGCAATTACACAAATCTGATCTCCGAAACAAATAAAAAAGAACTACTAATAACTTTTTTATGAAGTTTTACTGCATCGTTACATTAAAGAAAAGACCCCGATATTCCTTTGCGAGTCCTTTTATAGCTTCTGGAAAGGCGGAGCTTCCAAGAAATGACGTCAGCCTCGTCAGCCATTCCAGTTCGCTTTAAATATCTCCAGAACATTCTATAACTGTACGTGTAGAAAAGGCGGGAAAAACAACTTGACTTACGGGGCTGTGGATTTAATTCCACGTACTTTCAAATAAGAGACCGACGCCAAAAAAAAATAAAAATAAAAAGAACATACACTTAGAATTTTAAGTGTATTTTTGACTATGGAATTTTATTATTACATATATATATAAAAGGCCCTTTATATATATACATATACATACATATATTATATAAGGCCCTTTACACATACATACATATATATATATATAAAGAGCTTTTTATTCCTGATTGTTTCTTACTTATAGATCATATTATTAAACTTGATTGTTGTGCCTTATAAAGCGCATACTAATGTAATTTTCTCGTACTTGCAAAAGATATTACTTCAGTTTGAGAGTAAGCAGTATGTTTCCTTAATCTTAGTAATATTTTAGATTATTTGCTATCTGCTTTAATAAATGGTAAAATTAAACTTTTAGGTAGCATTAATTTCAGATTCAAAGTGTCTTCTGACAGGCATGCAGTGCAATCTAGTTTCTTAAGGAACAGATTATTAGGATTTTGACGCACATATGTTAATTCTAAAATTTTAAATGTATGTATGCCATAAAGTATCTTTCCCCGCTTTTTTCTTGTAGCACAAAATTAACCCTCTCATACACATTGCATCATATGTAATAAATATTTCAATGGTTTAGAAATTTTTATTTCTGTCCGACAAAATGGATTTAATTGTTTGGGATCGTTCCGTAATCTGAAATAGCATATTTTCTCTCCTGCCGCCCCCTCACGTATTTTCCCCTTAAATTGTTTGCGCCATATTACAAATATTACAAAAAATATTCGTGCAGTTTTCCCTTCTACAGCGCGTTTAGAGAAAGAACTTCCCTATATTTTAAAATATTTTCGTCCTCCACGTAGTGAAAAATTGTTAGCACAAAAATTTATAACTGAGAATATTTATTTTTGATTGATAACTACGAATAAAAGTTAATGAAATATATATCTTCAGATCTATGAATGAGATCTATATTATATCACAAATTAATTTAACTTCATTTATAGATAAATTTTCTGTCGCGATATTCGTATTTATTTTTAATTAAAATGAAACTAATATTGTAGAGACATTAGGATACTTTTGGAAGCAGAAGGGATGAAAAATTAGCAACCGCCTTCGCCAGGAATCGAACCACGGACCCTCTGGAATACTGGCCCAGCGTGCAGAACCACTACATCACGAAGGCACGCCAAGAAGGTGGGAGAAATACCTTATATACTCCCTCTTTTTTAGGTTAATTTGGAAGCAGGCAAGATGAAAAATTAGCAACCGCCTTCGCCGGTAATCGAACCACGGAACTCTGGAATACCGGCCCAGCGTGCAGAACCACTACACCACGAGGGCACGCCAATTAGGTGCAAGAAATACCTTAATAATATAAACTCAGACTTCAGATAACTAATATCTTGAAATCTTTGCATAATGCATGATTGAAATGTCTTTGAAGGCCACATCTACAATGACTGCCTACTATTCTTATTAATCCTCTGATGCAACTTGTATTCTCATTACTTACATTCTTTTGTATTTTCTAGGATATGGCCTCAGAAGAGGAAGAACAAAGAAACTGGAGGGGTATTTGTATAGCCTTACTCGTCATTGCAACAGTTTGTTCCCTCATCATCACATCTGTCGTCCTGCTCTCTCCGGGTAAGTTTCAATGTTATTATAACCTCCCTACCCCCAAGGACCAGAAATGAATTATTTCTGCTTGCAATAATCTGTTTTCCTCAGCTACATATACAGAGTGCTCCGCTCGAAAGGGGCTCTGATAAAGTCTTATAACGAGAGGGTATGAAATCAAATTGTTACATGACATACCTTTATGTTTGAGAAATGAAAATACATTATAAGAGGTGCTGAAAGGGATCTATACCCCACCTCTATACATACTTCAACACGGCACTGCCTGTTTTCGCATGTTGCTGCCAGAGTATATAACCTCACTGCCTAGATTTCAAGGAGGATGTTCTGACGTAACTCGTCGATGGTGCGTGATTTGTGCCTGTAGGCTTTACATTTAAGGCAATACCGTAGAAAAAAGTCTCAGGTCTGGAAAAATGATTTCACAACAGTCACACTCGGTGTAGACGTGTGACATGTTGCTCTATCTTGATAGTGTTGTCTTGCCAAGTATCAGCTCCTCATCATCCAACTAATTCACAAATTCATAAAACAGTGCCTGCTACACTTCACTGCTGGAAGTAGTGTAAAACAAATTGGCCCGACAATGCGCTGCTGTAATAATGCACAGAACACGCCCACCTTCCGTGAATGGTTCCTCGACGGGGGTTTCTCGACGATTGCATGCTGGTGGTCACTACTTTATAAACGTGTGCTTTGCTACTTCACTCATCTTGACAAGTGGAAAGATGCTACCTCGAGATACGAACATCTCTGTATACGAGAAATTCGAGCATTGACTCGAATAAATACGAGCATTGACTCGAATAACTAGCATTAAGCCAGACTGTTGGTATGCGAGGCGCCATTTTCCGATCCGGCTCGATTCGGAAAAACCCCTAGTCAGATCACTCGGTTTTGCGCTTGTGAGTCAATTGTTTATTACATTTAACATGAAAATAATTATTTCACGCTGCCTCTCAAAAAGATAGTTGCCTCAGATAGTGCTGCAAAGAAAAAGAAGGAAGCGACGGCCGTTGAAATTAAGAAAGAAACCATAAACAAGCGGGGTGTAAGAGTGACGGAATGGGCGGAGGCTAATTCCGTCACTATTCTATTCTGAAGAAGCATAGTGACGGAATTAATTCTGAAGAAGCATAGTGACGGAATTAATTCTGAAGAAGCATAGTGACGGAATTAATTCTGAAGAAGCATAGTGACGGAATTAATTCTGAAGAAGCATAGTGACGGAATTCTATTCTGAAGAAGCATTCATTTATTAAGTATTCATCCATTATGATTATTAGTACCTCTTTTATATGTTGAAAATTCTATATTCAAGTTTATATTAAACATAGATAGAAATTTGATATTAATTTGAAACTGATGAAAAATTTGGATCCTGTAAAGAATGTGTTAAAAATAGCCCTCTTATGGCAATGTAAAAAATCCCATGTGTTAAAAGTATGCTTTGTATAGAATTTATTTGTAAATCAGTCACATTATATGGCAATGTAAAAACTTTTGAATTATTTATAAATACTAGATAAGGGAGGACGTGGGCAGAACCGATTAACCGTAATTGGTGGAGGGAATGGTGCCCACGTTCTCAGTTACTACTACTACTACTATTATTCTGAAGGAGCACGAAGAAATTAAGAAACTTTTTGTAGCCAAAGGAGTTACCGTTATTTCCAAGCGCAGTCCAAAACTCCTAGAAGATATTCAGAAGTGACTGTTGTTGTGGATTAACGAGAAGAAATTAAAAAACTTTTTTGTAGCCAAAGGAGTTACCGTTATTTCCAAGCGCAGTCCAAAACTCCTAGAAGATATTCAGAAGTGCCTGTTGTTGTGGATTAACGAGAAGAAATTAAGAAACTTTTTTGTAGCCAAAGGAGTTACCGTTATTTCCAAGCGCAGTCCAAAACTCCTAGAAGATATTCAGAAGTGACTGTTGTTGTGGATTAACGAGAAGAAAAAATTAAGAAACTTTTTGTAGCCAAAGGAGTTACCGTTATTTCCAAGCGCAGTCCAAAACTCCTAGAAGATATTCAGAAGTGACTGTTGTTGTGGATTAACGAGAAGAAATTAAGAAACTTTTTGTAGCCAAAGGAGTTACCGTTATTTCCAAGCGCAGTCCAAAACTCCTAGAAGATATTCAGAAGTGACTGTTGTTTTATGGATTAACGAGAGAAAAGAAATAAGAAACTTTTTGTAGCCAAAGGAGTTACCGTTATTTCCAAGCGCAGTCCAAAACTCCTAGAAGATATTCAGAAGTGACTGTTGTTGTGGATTAACGAGAAGAAATTAAAAAACTTTTTGTAGCCAAAGGAGTTACCGTTATTTCCAAGCGCAGTCCAAAACTCCTAGAAGATATTCAGAAGTGACTGTTGTTATGGATTAACGAGAAGAAATTAAGAAACTTTTTGTAGCCAAAGGAGTTACCGTTATTTCCAAGCGCAGTCCAAAACTCCTAGAAGATATTCAGAAGTGACTGTTGTTGTGGATTAACGAGAAGAAATTAAGAAACTTTTTGTAGCCAAAGGAGTTACCGTTATTTCCAAGCGCAGTCCAAAACTCCTAGAAGATATTCAGAAGTGACTGTTGTTATGGATTAACGAGAAGAAATTAAGAAACTTTTTGTAGCCAAAGGAGTTACCGTTATTTCCAAGCGCAGTCCAAAACTCCTAGAAGATATTCAGAAGTGACTGTTGTTGTGGATTAAACGAGAAGAAATTAAGAAACTTTTGTAGCCAAAGGAGTTACCGTTATTTCCAGCGCAGTCCAAAACTCCTAGAAGATATTCAGAAGTGACTGTTGTTATGGATTAACGAGAAGAAATTAAGAAACTTTTTGTAGCCAAAGGAGTTACCGTTATTTCCAAGCGCAGTCCAAAACTCCTAGAAGATATTCAGAAGTGACTGTTGTTGTGGATTAACGAGAAGAAATTAAAAAACTTTTTTGTAGCCAAAGGAGTTACCGTTATTTCCAAGCGCAGTCCAAAACTCCTAGAAGATATTCAGAAGTGACTGTTGTTGTGGATTAACGAGAAGCAATTAAAAGGTTGGTCTCGGAAGGTTATCATAAAGTTAAACTATTATATTTACCAGTGTTATTTATTAGAAAAATTGATTTTTATGTTGATATTTTTGGGGGTGCAGAACGGATTAACTGGATTTTCATTATTTTCAATGGGGAAGTTTGTTTTTAGATACGAGAAATTCGCTATACGAGCTCAATGTTGGAACGAATCAAACTCGTATCGCGAGGTTCCACTTTACTTCCATTTCTCAAAGGCAAAGATATGTCATGTAACAATTTGGTTTCATTTCCTCTTGTTATGAGATTTTTTTCACAGTTTTCCCATGGCCCTTTTCGAGTGCGACATACTGCATTTGGGAATATAAAACTCTACAAATACTCCTGAGAGGGAAGATGAATCTTCCAAGATGACAACAGTGAACTTGAGTGGAAAAGGAGTCAGAAACATTATTTAAAGACGATTTTTTTGACATTTGTTCATTTTGATCGTATTGCAAGTATTGCAGCGCATCGTTCATGGGATGTAATACTGGCACAGCTCAAAAAATACGAATTTTACGTTATGACCGTAAAATTCGTATTTTTCGAATTCCGTACAACTTTGGAAAATAATCTTCTTTGTAGTAGGGCGTCTCTGCCGTAGGAAAGAACGAAAAAGGAACAATTAGTAAACATGTCTGTAACTACATAAGATCTGTTAAAACGATTGTAAATTTTTCAGAGAAAACAGTTTTGACAGTAAATAATACATTTAATCCAGAGGAAATTAGCTTTCCGCCATATATATGCACAGTTTATTTACATAAAGAATACAGCTTTTATAATAAGAAAAATCAAATACAACGTTTGGAATTAATAAGTAAACGGGTTCAAAATTAGAACATTAGATGTAATAATTTCATTTCTTCTTCATACTCGCTAAAAACTGGGTAGCAGAATCAATTTATACCGTCAACCAGTTTAAGGGGACTCATACACCTTAAAACCCATAAGATGTTCGAATAGGGGACTGTTGCAAAAATTGGGATAACTTATTTATTTCAAAAGCAATTACTGCCATTTTTTTATAGCTCACTACATAATATAGCTGCTTTCTGAAATAGTAATCAGAAAGTTTGTGTTGCCACAAATATTTTTATAATTAATCCGCTTTGTGACAAAATTTTTCGTCATGTTTTCAACTTGCGCGCACAGTTTAAAACATTATGTTTCATAATTTAATTCCATATTTAATATATAGCTTTTATAACACCTGAAAACTACTGTGAACCTAAAATTCTAAAAATTTCATGTTAAATTTTTATTTTATTTGGAGTTGAGTTTATAAAATGCATTTTATTAAAAAAATTTGTAATGTTTTCGTCCATAAAATTTTTCAATATTGAAATATTCGTCAGATTGTTGGTTCAGTTAGAAAATAGTGCCCATATAAAGAATTCCATCGAATTTTAAGTATGTACCATTAACCATTTTTAAAATAACATGCGCGCAAGGTGGAAAGATGGCGAAATATTTTGTCACAAAGAGGATTAAATTACAAAAATATTTGTGGCAACACAAACTTTCTGGTTACTAATTTCCAAAGCAGCTATATCATGTAGTCGGCTGTAAAAAGTTGGAAATAATTGCTTTTAAAATAAATAAAATATCCCAATTCTTGCAATAGTCACATATTCGAAGATCATGAGGGGTTTAAGGATTATGAGTCCCCTTAAGTAAAGCAGATTTTCCATTATCTTTCCATTTCTTTCCATTAACTTATTACTTTCCATTATCATTACATGAATAAAAATAATTGGAAATGCATTGAAATTTCAATGAAATGTCCTAGTACATGAATGTTATCTTAAGAGACTGTCGTAAAGAACATGGCCTTGCACTTTGTAGCTTCTTTGATGTACTAGATTACTGTAGGCAAACGTGAATTAATTGCGTTTATGTTTGCTTTATATGGCAAGCGTCTCGTATTCACCATCATAGTTTAC